TTTGCAATGCCACAAACCGCGATTCCATATCTGCCTTACTTTGGAAGCACTGAGCGTTTTAGTTTTGTCCATGAAAAACCGGATTTTTTGGCACTTTTCCGCAAAAAAAAAAAGTGCTCAGAATTCACTTTTATGCACATTGGGGGAGAGCTAGAGAAGCACCGAGTCCAAAAAACCGGGTAACATCGATTTCCGAGACCAAAAAAATTCGACCCAAAAATGGATTTTGGTACCACAGGTAGCTACCTGTTGAAATTTGCCAATTTTGCCTTTTTTGAAAATCCAAACTTTGCAGCTTCACCACGGTCAAACCACTTGAGATAGGATGATGAAATTTTGACAGGTACTAGTTTGAAATCTTAGCTTTGCAATGCCACAAACCGCGATTCCATATCTGCCTTACTTTGGAAGCACTGAGCGTTTTAGTTTTGTCCATGAAAAACCGGATTTTTTGGCACTTTTCCGCAAAAAAAAAAAGTGCTCAGAATTCACTTTTATGCACATTGGGGGAGAGCTAGAGAAGCACAGAGTCCAAAAAACCGGGTAACATCGATTTCCGAGACCAAAAAAATTCGACCCAAAAATGGATTTTGGTACCACAGGTAGCTACCTGTTGAAATTTGCCAATTTTGCCTTTTTTGAAAATCCAAACTTTGCAGCTTCACCACGGTCAAACCACTTGAGATAGGATGATGAAATTTTGACAGGTACCAGTTTGAAATCTTAGCTTTGCAATGCCACAAACCGCAATTCCATATCTGCCTTACTTTGGAAGCACTGAGCGTTTTAGTTTTGTCCATGAAAAATCGGATTTTTTGGCACTTTTCCGCAAAAAAAAAAGTGCTCAGAATTCACTTTTATGCACATTGGGGGAGAGCTAGAGAAGCACCGAGTCCAAAAAACCGGGTAACATCGATTTCCGAGACCAAAAAAATTCGACCCAAAAATGGATTTTGGTACCACAGGTAGCTACCTGTTGAAATTTGCCAATTTTGCCTTTTTTGAAAATCCAAACTTTGCAGCTTCACCACGGTCAAACCACTTGAGATAGGATGATGAAATTGTGACAGGTACTAGTTTGAAATCTTAGCTTTGCAATGCCACAAACCGCGATTCCATAAGCGTTTTAGTTTTGTCCATGAAAAACCGGATTTTTTGGCACTTTTCCGCAAAAAAAAAAAGTGCTCAGAATTCACTTTTATGCACATTGGGGGAGAGCTAGAGAAGCACCGAGTCCAAAAAACCGGGTAACATCGATTTCCGAGACCAAAAAAATTCGACCCAAAAATGGATTTTGGTACCACAGGTAGCTACCTGTTGAAATTTGCCAATTTTGCCTTTTTTGAAAATCCAAACTTTGCAGCTTCACCACGGTCAAACCACTTGAGATAGGATGATGACATTTTGACAGGTACTAGTTTGAAATCTTAGCTTTGCAATGCCACAAACCGCGATTCCATATCTGCCTTACATTGGAAGCACTGAGCGTTTTAGTTTTGTCCATGAAAAACCGGATTTTTTCGCACTTTTCCGCAAAAAAAAAAGTGCTCAGAATTCACTTTTATGCACATTGGGGGAGAGTTAGAGAAGCACCGAGTCCAAAAAAACGGGTAACATCGATTTCCGAGACCAAAACAAAAAAAATTCGACCCAAAAATGGATTTTGGTACCACAGGTAGCTACCTGTTGAAATTTGCCAATTTTGCCTTTTCAAAATTCCTTTTTTTGAAAATCCAAACTTTGCAGCTTCACCACGGTCAAACCACTTGAATTAGGACATCAAAAGATGTGACGATTATTGGGGACTTAGTCCGCGATACATTGTCAAGAAGAAGGCAGATGAAGCTTTAAAAACACATCGCTCATCTCTATAAAGAACTCCAAAAGAACTCTACAGAAGAAGAACAAAGTATCAAG